ATTTTGGGCTTCTTCATGAGTTTTTATTAATTCACTAATTCCCTGTAGCTCAAGAGATGCTAATTAATTCAAGAAGCCATAATAGCTAATCATTGGCTAAATAAATCTAAAATGGAGAAAGTCTGTCACTGGAGATACCACTGCTCATTTTAATTAAAATTACCAATTTGTGAAGTAATGTAAATAAAGGTTATTGTATCCTTCCACTCCAGGAAGTATTAACCCTTTGCATGGCCACCTGAGAATCTAACAAGACTTAAAAAGCCAAGAATATTTGTGGAGCTTAATCAATCACTGAGTTAGGATATTTATCATTCCCAGTGTGTTGTTCATGGACATTATAAAAATCGTGTGGAGTAAATCTGCCTTGAAACAAAACAGGGGATGGAGAAGAGCTAAGGGTGGTTGCCTCGAAGGAAATACAATCAATGTGAAGGAAGCAACCACCCCAAAATAAATGATTACCTTTATAAACATTCAGGCCTAGGGAAAAGCAAATGTTCCAGCTCTGAGTTTCCATTTGTAAGGAATAAATTTATGCAAATGCCCATTAGTTTTAGTGATTTTGTAGCTCAGAGTGATCTCACCTTGTTAACATGCAGTACAGCTGCTTGTAGCCATTTGAATGTCATTTGGAGAGACAGAAAGGCTGCCTCTTCATTACATGACTAAATGGCAAGGCTCAGCCGCAAAGCTCACCTTGGGAACCGGATACACCTGCATGCTTAGCCGCTCAAGCCAGCCAACCCAAGAAAGCAGTGTGTGTAGGAGACCATATAGTGTGAGTCATCACTAAATCCTAAGCTGAGCAGCCATGGTGCTCCTGGTAGATTTGCCCTTGCCTAAGAGAAATCCTTCTTTCTTGTCTCTCTGATCAGCTCAGGAGCCATTGATGATAAAGTCCTAAAACTAACTGCTAATAAAACCCCAAAAGTTTTAGAGGCAAAATGAAAAGGCACAGTTCACAGATACCTTTTAGACAATGGTTGGGGAGGTATTACAGTTTAGTCAAAGATCTGAAATTAGTCTGAAATGAAAAAAAAGGGACATGCTTTGGGATGAAGGTGAAGCTGGCAAAGGAAAATTACTGTCATCTTGTCAAAAGGCTACTTCTGAATGGAGCCTCCTGACAAAACAGAAGTCTGGCTGAAACTTGAACCAGATAAACTTGTTATGCAAATAGCTTTAGCCATAGGGGAACGGGCCGATAATGAAATCTCTACAAAGTCAACCACACATTACAGAGGTGACAAAAAACACCAGGCAGGGTCCTAGCTTACGGTTAAAAAGCAGTGCAGAATTTATGTGAGCATCATGTTTAATTTATCATAACTAAGCTGTCAGGAGTCCTGCTTTGACAAATGCATAACTAACACATACAAATGAGTCAATTATCACTAACAACCAAAGGTTCAGAACCAAACTGATGTTTCTTTTTTTTTTTTAAACCACAAAACATGTTTACTAGTAAGATTTCAGACTTTCTTAAAATCTCTCCTAGTGTCTCCACATTAAGAAGGCTGGACACCTGAAAAACACCAAGCCACCTCCCAGCACCCGCCCCCCCCCCTTCATGTACATTCTCTCTCTCATTCACACACACTCACTCTCTCTTTCTCTCTCTCTCTCTCACACACACACACACACACACACTCTCACACACACACACAGACCCTGTCCCCTGTCTACACAGCTATAATCAGTAGGCTACAGCCAGGTCAATCCCTTTGGACCACTGCAGCAAACAATGAGAAGTCATACAGGTCCTTGGTAAATGGTGACCAACATGGACCGAAAAAGATCAAAATTATTGAATCACGTCTGCTATGTTTTAGCAGTCACATGGGGATAGGGTATTAAAAGTTTTAAAGCTGCTAAAGAATTTCTAGTCCTGTTTATTCTTTAGAGAGAATCAGTTTATTTACCTTAATACAATGCACTGTTATTCAGTCTACAATGGGAATTGAAGCAATTATCTGAATAATTCAAGCTAAAAACATCTTTCCTGAAATTACCAGAAAATCATCTTCCCCACCCCAGTCCCACCAATATGAAAATCTGAAGGCCTTAATCCTCTGTCCTTCTCCCGGTTCCCTCCCAATATGAACAAGATAAGTATAAAAGCAAACCAAGGCTCTCTCTTTCAATAGACATTTCTAACCCAGTGAGTGTCATTGTTTGTATTTCATTAGAGATTTGAATAAACAGAATGAAATAGTAAAGTCAAATTCAATTGGTAGGCTGAGTAATGGCAGCCTAGGGTATGCAGGCTCATCTATGAAACCAAAGGTTATTATTTGGAATAGTGGGCAGGTTTCTACCTAAAGATATAAAATATAATAATTAGTCCCTAATCTTGAGACTCTATTCCAAAAATCTTGTAAAAAAAAGAACTAATGGTTGAGGAATCTAAGATGGTATATGGGGAAAGCAGGATTGGGAGCTGAAATCAGGAAAGAATCTATGAACAACTATAACATAGAATATTTTCACTAATAAAACCATTAAGGACAACTCATTAAATAAACAGAAGATTGATGACATTTTTCCATACCTTAAATTAGTAGTAAAGCACACAATCACTTGATTTCTATTCACCTTCATTGGTTCATAAGAACTTTTTCAGACTCTCCCTCTCCTGCCGTTTCAACAAGATGCTTTTGCTTTGCCCCGATAGCATGCATACTAAAGGCATTGTTTTTTGTGTTCTGTCTTCCATTCTAGTATCAAGACCCTCTAAGTCTAAAGCAAATCAGGATGAGTGCACCTGGAGTTAAGCAGATTTAAATGGGCATGTAATAGGATACTGCCATAAAGAAAAATCAATAGTTGGGAGGGATTTTCACACTGTTTAACCCTGAGAGTCCCAACTCCATCATTAAGTATGTACCTTTATTCCCAAATCCATCTAAGCAATACCGTGCTTGGTTTAAGAATCCAAATACACTCTTGAAAATATATACGGAAGATAAAATTTAGTGAGTCAAGTCACATTTTAGAAGAATCACAAGAGCTTGGTATAGGAAGGCATATTTGTGAATATGTAATGGATTTTTCTAGGCCAACAGCTTCAAGAAGGTCAATCAAGAGAATCTATATGCAGCAATGGAATGAAAAGGAAAACTCTTTAAATCCAGCCTCTGCTAGCAAAATCACTGGAACCCATAGCCCCTGGATTTCTCTCCCTGGGGTGTGTTCCCAGCCACCAGGATGTCTTTAGTTCTCCAGTTCCCTTCACCTCCCCCTTTGGCTCCCAAATCCCAGGAAGTGCCTCTTCCTCTGCTCCTTTGTGAGCATCATCCCTCTTCCATCTGTTGTTCCTCTCACCATTGTCTGACATTGCCACCTTGAGGTGTGGCTGCTTCTGCATTCTGCAAGCTTTGCAGAAACACCAGAGTGGGGACTGGAGGGGTGAGGAAACGCCCTGGCCCTGAACTTCATGGTCACATTCCAGTACGGCCTTGCTTGGTAGAGTTCTTGGAATATTTACCACTCTTGTCTCCTGACAAAGGTGAAACAAATCCAGGAGGGGCTGGACAAGCAAACAATTTCAGGGACCTTGAACTATGATGCACTTGAAACAAAAATTAAATATAGGTTTACAGCTCCTTCTACTAACCCTTGGGGTCAAATGTTTTTTTGGAATTCAGAATTTTATCAAATTTTAGAAAAGTAAACCAGTCCATTTACTGTATGTTATGTAACATTCCCCAGCAGGATCGGGGGCAGCACACTGTAATCAAACACAATAATATATCTGCAGCAATTCACATGAATATTCACACTGACTGAGATAAATAAGGACTATAAATAGCTTCACTTCAGTTTAGGTCATGTGTTGCCACCAAATCAGTTCACATAAGGCCAGGGCCTGTAGCTAAATGAGTCAAGTACAAAAAAAACTTTCATTTCTCAGAGCTCTTTGGATTCTAGAATTGTGGATAAGGAATTACTGATCCGTATAATGACTGAGTAAGGAAGATGATCAAGGGACCCAGTTTCTTTCATTGTCCTGACTTTTTGAGGAAGCTAAGTCTGCACATAGGCATAAGTTAGAGAAATTTGTCTTGACCCTTCCCTAAGTACTGTTTATGAGCTATTTTTGGCACTTCTTTTCTCCCCCCATGACTTCTGAACACCTTGTTTGGTGTACTAGACACTGAGCACACCTCTTCCCAGTCCCTGTACCTGGATATGCCTTGTAATGCCTGGTCTGGATTTCTGCCCTCACAGTTCATCAGGAGCCTAGCCTGGGGTCACACAGTTCCCTCTAGCATACTGAGCATCTTCCCCAGATCTGGGACCAGTGTGGTCCTCTATCAGACCAGGGGCCAGGCCAAAAGCTCATAATCCCAGAACTGAGTCACCATCCTGTTGGTGTTACTGTTGGTTCTGCACCTGTCTTAGTCCCATTCTATCTTGCCTAGCTCCTGGTAATATAGCTCCCATCAGGCACACCACCCATCACTTGGGTTTTCATCTTGTTCTCCCTGCCCTGAGCCCTGGCTGGGGCTGTTCACCTTGGTGCCTCAGGCCTGAGATCCTACTGTGCCCCCTCAATCATCTTGGGAACTGGAGCTGTGTTCCCACACCACAGATCTAGAGCAAAGCCCAACTTCCAAGCTATAAGACCCCCATAGAAGGCTGCCACCCTCTGTCTCTTCCCTGGGCCTAGTGGGGGCATCATAGTTTCAGATGTTGAGTTTCCTCCACTTGCAGTATTCGCCCCAGGACAAGTAGATTAGATAAATGTGAGTAGATTCTCAGATAAATGTGACCCATATGATCAGGAGGTCTGATTACAGTCAAAAGTCAAATGGAACTCTTTATTTTTCAAATCCTGCAGAGGCATCTTCTATCATTTACTGGAACAAATTCTGTGTCATAACGTGCTAAAAGGCAGAACAACTTCTAGAGCCAAGTAAATTCCACAGCTCAGATTTCCAATCACTGTTCAAGGCCTTGCTGGATAAGCAATTTTTAGTGGAAGAAATACTCACTGTGAAATAAAGTGGTTGAACTCCTCACACCATTTTTCCGGATGAAGTAAAGTAGGTGGAGGATTTCTGAAAAACAAAAACAATTTTTTTCTTACCAAAAAAAAAAAAAAAGTGTTTAGTTAAAAGCAAAATACCAACTTGTCTTTACTGATATTGTTCTAAATAGCTCTGATAAAATCCATTCTGTTTCTTCCCGGGTGGGAGCCACTCATTAGTGGTAAATTACAAAGTGCCAGCCCCTATTTATTTAGTCCTTCATTTTCATTGATTAAAGGCCTACTATGTCCATGGTTTTCTGTAGGAGCTATGAGAGTTACACAGATCAGGACCATTCCTCAGGGAGCAAGCACTAATGAGGGGCAAGGCAAGCATACAACCACTATAACCGAGAGCTGAGTATTATTAATGCCATAAGAAAGAAAGCTACAAATCTAGTGCTAGGGGCTTTAGAGAAATTTTACAAGGATTTTCAGATCATTATACTACCATGTGAATTAATTATGTGATGCATTTAAAGTACACTCATAAATTCATCAGTCAAATTTTTAACCATTTCTTGTATGTCAGTTTCTGCAATAGGCACTGGGGAAAGCAAAACAGCTAAAACAGTGTTCCAGGCCCTATGGAGTTCCTGCGTAGAGAGGGTGACAGACATCTAACATAACTAAGTACTGGAGGTCCAAGAGAACTAGAGAGCTGCAGAAAGACTCTGGTAACCAGGCCACTTCCTGGAGAGAAGGCAGGATAAGGGGAAAGTAAGAGCCCTGCATTTGGCTGAATATTTACCCAAAGAGATTAGATTTTAAAACAGAACTGACATTACCTTTAATTGGTAAGAGCTTTTTTTCTGGTTATAAATGGAAGTAGGGGCTTCTGGGCAAATTAAGTATAGCAAATAGAGAAAGTTAAATTTCTGTACATCTGAAATAGGACTGTAAATCTTAAACACATTATATAAATTATCTTTGTTTTCACCTGGGTTCTAACTACTTCCTAAAGCCACAGATTGCTTAGCTTCAAAAGGTAGAATGGGAAGCAGCGAGAATGACTGAAATAAAAAAAATGCATCAGATAATGTGATTACAATTTGCCTCTCAATACCCATTCTCCTCTCATTTTTTTTAGTACAGTTTTTATTCTGACACAATGCTGCTATATAAAGACTACGTTTTCCTAAGTTTCTTGCAGCTAGATGTGTCCATGTGACTGAGTTCTGGCCATTGCTAAAATTGTTCAATGGTATTTCCAGGAAGTCTTCTTTTTTTTTTTTTTAAAGATTTTTTTTTTTTAATTTATTTATTTGACAGAGAAAGAGAGAGATAGCGAGAGCAGGAACACAAGCAGGGGGAGTGGGAGAGGGAGAAGCAGGCTGCCCCCCAAACAGGGAGCCCGATGCAGGGCTTGATCCCAGGACCCTGGGATCATGACCTGAGCCAAAGGCAGGCACTCAATGACTGAGCCACCCAGGTGCCCCTCCAGGAAGCCTTCTTAAAAAGAGGAGTGACATCTTCCTTCTTCCCCCTTGCTGCTTCCTGGAGTATGGATGTGATGGCTGGAGTCTGAGCAGCCATTTTGGACATGAGGTAAACTTGAAAATGAGAGCTATAAGCTGAGTATGGCAAAGAAGATAGAAAACTGGATTCATGATGACACTGCAAAGCTGCCGTACCAGCTCTAGACTGCTTCCTGTTAGTCTTCCTTAACAGGAGAGAAGTAAACTTCCACCCTTTTTAAGCCATTGTTAAAATGCAATTAATCCTAAATGAGTCAATAATATTTCAGAGTATTATCCTATCACATCATGAGAAGAGAAGTTGATAAGTGATACAGAAATACACGAAGATATGTGGGAGCATAATTAAGGGAGAATTTACCCAATCTGGTGAGTCCCAGAAGACTTTATAAAGAAGATGAACTTAAACTGACCTCTGAAGATTAGGATGGATTTTTCAAGACAGAGAAAGAGAGGATTGACACAACAGGCTTAGAAAACAACATGTACCAAATCACAGAAGTGTAAAAAAGTCTGGTAGGTTCAAAGAACGTAAGTAATTTTTTGAGGCTAGACTATGTGATTCTTTTGGATCTGGAGAGAGAGCAGGAGGGAAGGAACAGTGATAAGAGAGAAGTATATAATTTCCCTGTTCTGCATAAGAATTTAATTATCCTTCAGATCTTCTGATTCAAAGACCCAAAAGAAAATTATCTGTGTGCCCAGCTAGAAAGAGTAAGCAGCTCAAGGTTGCCCTTCAGTTATTTTGGAGGCTGCCTCTATCTCATTCATTTTATTCAACAATATTTGCCTTCATCTTTCCCTTGCATTTTTTTAAATAATCAAAGTACCATCATATAACTTCTGCTTCAGTGCTTATTTGAACTGACCTGTTCTTACTGGCTCCAGCTGTTTGAGGTCCCAGCTGTGGGCCTCAGTGTGGCCTCTTTCAGTGACGTTATCCTATCATCTCCTAGAGCCCTTTCCAGAACTTGAACTTTCCTTAGGTTTTCTGCTCATTCTGATCTCACTGAGGTCAGTCCCACAGAGAAGACATGCTTAAGCAATTTACTATCTAATAGACTTAATTCACCCCTAAAGCAGTTAACCATGACCAAGAAGTCACTTGTAGACAGAATAAACAGACTTGATTAAAACAACCCTAGTAGGCTCAACACCGGCCAGCTGAGCATGAAGGGACAGCCCTCTGCTGCAATTGAAGAATGACCCCGCAAGGGTCCATTGGAGAAATGGATGGCAAGCATCCACTCTTGTGTAGAGAACACTGCACTTTCCTGTTTTCAGTCTAGTTATCAGCGGGAACTACAGGCCGGGTGATGGTTTATGAGCTGGCCTGAACCTCTGCAGCAGGGCACGGAGGAGGGAGCAGGAGATCACCACTCATCCAGACCATCGCCAATCCCTGGTGGCCTCACATGAACCCCAAACAAGGAAACATCTTTGAAGCTTGGCATCATAGGAATTTGGTTTCAGAGAAGCTTATTTGACTTTGTAGGTAGGTGCCCTGTCTTTCCTGAAGTCGATCCATCATACTTAGGTTCAGTGAATAGAGATCTTGTGAAAGATTATTATCTGTGTATAATGAAAACTAAAAGGAATATAAAGGCTTTATGGTATTTTGTTTGCACTAGCAATATAAATTCCAGTTCTCTCGCCATCCAGGAGGAGCACCAAATAGTAACGATGGTACCTTTTTTGGCTGTCAATACCACAGATGCAAGCTGCAACCGTGCCCAGCGGGTCTCTCTCCAAAAGGAGAGGAGATGTTTCATGTTCAGTGCGATGGGAGAGTCAGTGCATAGCTGTGATTCAGAGACAAGCAGGCATCCCTCACTTATGTGTATGGATGCCAAGAGCCTGCAGAATGTTTGAATGGTGAGTGGCTGGAAGGACTGTGAATCTAAATAACCAGCTCTAATTTGGATAATGTTTATAAACATACATTTTGTTTTTTGAGAAAAGGCAAAAAGCGAAAATAGTGTTCAGTGTTTGTTTTGCAGTAAGTCTTTATAGGGGCAGTGCAAAGTCCAAGCAGTGAGAGAGGCCCCACCAAGCTCCCTCCCTCGGAACTACACTCAACTTCTCAGCATCACGCTGCCATAGCCTTGAATCCTGTCTGTGAGCATCTGTACTTTAACTCGATTTATGTTGTGCATCCATTAGCAATGTGTCCTAAGGCATCAGAAAAGCCTAAAAGAGGTTATCTTTTGGGTCTTGGAATGCTCAAAAATTTTTCTATATAAATTAATGACAATTGCTTCTTTGCTTTACACTATTTTGGCTCAAGAAAGATTTCATAGGAACACTCTACTTTCGGGTAGCAGGGGAAACCTGTATTTGATCTGAGTTTTGCCTGTCTGGGTTTTACTCCTGTGATTTGGACGCCAAGTTCAATATCTATAAAGATGATCTGCTGTACACAGACAGCATTAGGGCTACATGAGACTAGAAGCATGGGGTGATGTTAAAGAGAGTCGTGAACCTATTATATATCCATTTTTGACCTGGGTCCAGCAAATACAATGGAGATCAAGTTAACCTTCTTCTCCCAAAGCCTAATAAACTGCTTTTCTGAACAGCTGAACTGAATTCATTCTAGTTCCCGAAATGGAGAAGCAGCTGACTGGGGTGGGCACCTGGCCTCTGGATAGCCAATCCCCATTTAAACTTTTGGCCTATGCCATGGCATGATGCAAAATGATCATCTGGGTCAATCTGATTCTCTCTAGGTTTTTTCCCCCACCTTGAACTAAAAAAATAAACACAAAACAAACAAAAGAATGAAGGAGTTTAGGGGCGCCTGGGTGGCTCAGTTGGTTAAGCGACTGCCTTCGGCTCAGGTCATGATCCCAGGGTCCTGGGATCGAGTACCACGTCGGGCTCCCGGCTCAGCGGGGAGCCTGCTTCTCCCTCTCACCCTCTCCTCTCTCATGCTGTTTCTCTCTCGCTCGCTCTCTAATAAATAAATAAATAAAATCTTTAAAAAAAAAAATTTAAAAAAAAAAAAAGAATGAAGGAGTTTAGAATGAGAGCTGAAGCTAAGAGATCCATGATGACAGGGCAAATGGGAGAGGTCACGGAGCACAATGTGCAAGCTGAAGTTTTAGGAAGCAGAAACTATGAGGAGGCAGAAAACGAGGGAATGAGGAGAAAACAAGCCAGGCAGAGGAGAAAGGATGAAATGTGTCACAAAAAAAATGAGACCCCATAGGCTATTCTTGAGTTCCTTTTATGAGTGCTGCTCTCTCTGGTGCACCTGGAATATTACTGGCCACAGCATTCTGTTCTTGGCCCTATTCTCTTCCCATTCTCCACATTCACTGAAGGCTCACTACATGTCAGCATCTCCCCAATCTCTATCTCCTGCCTTGATTTCTCCTCTGCCTTTTGGCTAGTGCATCCAACTACTTTCTAGATGTTCCATTTTGATTTCCCAGGGGCACCTTAAAGTCAGCATGTTCAAAACAGAACTTATCTTCTTCCCCTAAATCTGCATTCTACTTGGTTGTTGGAGTCAGAAACTTGGGTTCTACCCTCTCCCATAACCC